TTAAAGTGTTGGAACAGCAGAGTTGAGAGTTTGAATGTGTAGCCTTGTAATCCTGTCCCTCCTTCCAAAAGAAGGTTCTTCAAATATGACTATACTGATGTGTCTCATGTTTTTCAGGCCTTTGTGCTCTGCACCAATTATGTTTAAAATGCTGGATGGATGAATTCCCTCTCGAAGGAAGTAATAGTGAAACAACTTCATGTGTGGCTGAGGAGGTTTTTTTTCTAGTGGAAGATATTCATTTTATGTGAAAGACTCAAGGAGTTGTACTCTCAGTGATTGAATCTGAATAGCATAAACTCAAATTTCTGTTTTACAGGAATATAGACTTTGTAGGCAGTCTTAACTCTGTTCATTTTTGGTGGTGCTGGTGAACTTAGCATAATACAGAGGATTCAAATTTCTTTCCCAAACCAAAATAAATACTGTTTGTAAATATTTGCTGAGAGTGGGTTGGAGAGGAGTCTAGAGAGGCAAGGTGTGGAGTATTGTGGAGAGCAGACTAAGGAGAGTTAAAGGTTCAGTGCTGGTCAGGAAATTAGGGGGAAGCAGAGGTATGTTGCCATTGAAAGATAAAAAAAAAAAAGGTCTTCTGGTGCTATATTTTTCCTGATATACTTCATGCTGGACATTCAGCCATCTCTGAATCCCTGCTCAAGCCAGGGTTTGGTGATCCTGATCAGAACATAAGTTTGATACCTGTGGAATAAAGTATGATTGTGCTTGACACACAGTGGGAAGGGAAGAAGGAAGGACGGACTGGCTACAGTAGTTTGAGATGGATCTACAGTGGAGCTTGGCTTGTGGATTTAAGGGAAACTTGGGACTTAACTCGAGTGCGTGACTTTGTCTTTGTAAAGAAAACGGTCTTCGATTTGGTGTAGCTTTGCCCAAATACACCCAGCTGGTTCTTTCCTTCACTGTAATGGTTTTTTTATGCAGATAATATTGAACAAAGCAGATACAAACAACTTTGTACTCGTGATTCTATAAGCTCTTCCAAGCTCCAGAGTGGCAGTTAGGGTTATTTTGGCATGTAGTTAACTCTTTGCTATATTGCTTTCAGCACTAGTCATGATTCTCAGATGGTGCATAACTTCTGTATTACTGATGATTTCTACTGAAAGCTTCTGGTTCTGTACTGCTGAAAGGACAGAATTGAAATTAGTAGCTTACTTAACTTGGGCAGTGACCATATGATGTTGAGCTGCTACATTGTTCTGAAGAAGCAGGAGTAACTTCAAAAAGCTTATACCTATTTTATTCATAAGAGTACATGTGTGTTGGAAACCTGCATGGAAAGAAGAATGTGTATCAGTGTTAATTGCCTGACTACTTGATTCTTCTGGTTACACATCCTCCTTCTTGAGGCAGGTGAAAACACAGCATGCACCAGGGATTTGGTGAGATGATTGAGACAAAGCTTGTAATCAGATTGTTAGCGAACTGTTATGTGTTTGGTAAAGATCAGAGACATTCGTTTGGACCAGGAGCTAAAGAGAACATTCAGTGTTAATTGTGGCAATGTTAGCAAGGTATCTCTGCTTAAATAGATCTAAGGACTGACCTCAAACGTTTTTACGAAGGTACGCAAACTCTGGGAGCTTTCTGGTGTTTCTTGTGAGGACAAAAACTGGAGTATGTCTGCAGTTGGTGTCTGAATGATAGAAAATTATCTTTGTATCTGTAGACATGAATGGGAAGAGATGTAATAGCTTGGGATGCCTGGAATCAAGATCTCTATCACTTTTTCTTCATCAGGAGAGTGCTGATTTCCTTTTGCAAGAGAAGACTAGCAATACTAGCAGTAACAGTGACTTTGGCACACTGGCAGGAAATGCACCTTTATCTTCAGAGTTCCAAATTTGCCCTCCTTTCCAGGTTTCTTAAGGATCTGTCAGCTCTGACTGTTACTTGAATGCTAATATTTAAAAAAGCACATACCAGATTTCAAATCTGATTCCATTGAAGCATCAATCAAACCTAGAAAAGAAAACAAATTTACCCTAGCAGAGTAAAAGTGTGTTTGTTTATTGCAAATTAGAAAGTTATAGAAAGGTAAAGCCAACAAAACATGCTCTCAGTAGGTATGTGTATGTGACACTTGGAGTTCTTTTACAAATGTGATTTGAGATCTCCAAGTTGTGTTACAGTTGAGGAAGCTGATGGAATGACAACAGCATTTCAGTCTTTGAATAATGTGTTTCAGAACAGAAGTCTGAAATTAGTGAGGAATGAGTTAAAGCCCTTAGTCTTACAGGCTGCTCAGGGCAACTGCTTCTCTGAGACTGCTTTTGTTCCTTTTGTAATAGTGGATCGCAGTTATTTTTTTCTTCCCCTCCTTCTCTCTTGTCACTTTCAAGGCCATTGTGTTTAGTTGTGTGCATTTTTAATGGAAGGTTCATCACCAAGTCTTTGAAACTCTTAAAATGCTTTTAATGGACATTTACTTAAAAATGTATGGCATATTTTTTAGTTCTAAAATTAGAAGGTGTCAGTGTCTAGCAGCCATTGCACAAAAGCATCCTGACTTCCATTTCAAGGAAAGAACTGGCTGCTAGTCGGACACGCTAGTGACAAAACAGAGAGAGGCATTACTGACTGTGGGGTTTTTAAATACTGCTTTTTTAGAAATCATGCAGAGAACTAGATAGCAGGATTAAACTGATTCAGGGTTTTGGAATTGAGGAGAAAACCTTTATTGATTGAAAAATACAGGCTGCCTCTAATCTTGAAACCTCCTTTTTTTCCCTAAGCCTAAACAAAACCACATAAATCTTTCTAGCATTCCTGTACCGCTCACTAGCCATCCTTAGGCACCCCTTCTATTCTAACAGTTAAGGACATAGGACCTAATCTTCTGATTTAGGTGTGTGGATCACAGTTCTCGGCAATGGGAGATAAATTTCTACCTTCGTACATTCTTTTCTTGTTAACTCCCTGTGGGATTGTGCAGGGTCAGAAAGCAAGGAGTGTTTCACATACTCTTCTCTACAAGATTCATGAGTCTTTCTGATCATGCTTTCATGCTGTTTCAGAGAGGAGAATAGTATTAATTAACCAGTTCTTGGACTTGTGGTGTCATGTGGATTGGCGTGTTGTTGGCAAGTAGCACTAATTAGCAGAGCCTGTTTGTTTGTGGATTTGTCCTATTGGTCTTCATCTTCACTGCCTTGTGTCTTCTAAGTGCACGCACCAGGCGAGGCAGTCCATGCTGGGAGCTGGGTGGGTGCTGCTGGCGAGCCTGAGGGCAAGCACAAGCAGGGCCTTTCCCCAGTAGCATCTTTTTCATTGTCTCTTTGCACCATCCTCAAAACTTCCATAAATGTAGCACAGTTTGGAAAATCTGCTTTCTTGCTGGGCCTGGATCTGGCAGATGGGTATAGTGGTTCTTACAGTAGGTGACCAGGAGTGGGATGGCTGCGTAAGGTGAAGCTGAAAAAGGGTAGCTGGTGTTGAGACAGGAGGGTTATTCAACTAATAACTGGAACCTTTAGTGTTTCATCCACAGCAGACCTCCTGCACCTTATGCCACATGAAGAAGTGAAACTCCTGCAGATTCCCCTTGGCATGGTAGCAGACTAGCCAGGTTGACAAGGTGTCACAGCCAGAACTGTCTCAACCAAAGGAGTTTGTTTTAAATATTTCAGGCAAATAACTCATTGTGTTAGCAGGCGGAGAGGTGGGCGAGTCTGGAATGCTGCTTTGAGTTTTGAAATTCCCCACTTGATGTTACAAATTAGGCAACCATTTCTTTTGACGTAGCTTTTCAGTAGTGAGTCTAACGCAGCCAGGAGGGGAAAAGTCTTTAAGTCTTCAGTGGGAGGTCTTGTTGCAGGTAGGTAATCTTGTGAATCTAAAAAGGTAGCTGTGTCATTACAGCTTTAGCTTTCCAGCTAGGAAAACCCCTCTCTTCTTTCTTCTTTCTCTACTTTCTCTCTGAATCAAGCTTAGTTTCCCTTCTTCTGAGACATAGGAGTGCAGTAAGCTATAAAGCCATGACTTATCAAGGGTATATAGCAATGTTGGTATGCAGAAACCAAATTCAAATAAAAATGGCATAGACCACTGAAAAAGTGACACTTTTAACAAGTATATTTGTTTATAATTTATTTTGTAATACTTGGGTTAGATGTTTCTGAGACAATACTGGAGGTGCTTCCAGACAAAGTGGAGTAAAACTCTAGTCTCAGAGGATCTTTGGTTTCTGCTAGTTGGTTTTGACAGTATCCTAACATTTTTGGTAGCACTATGATACTTAAAGGTGGTGGGTTTTTTTGTTTGGGTTTTTTTTTTTTAATTAGGTGCTTTTTCATATGGATTGAGTGTTTTCAAGTTCTAATATAATAGAGAAATCCTTTGGTTCCATGCTCCCAGAAGAGTCACAAAGTATTTCTTGACAAGTCCTTGTCATGAAATCTCATTACACTTTGAATATTGAATAATCTCTTTAAGTGTTTCAATGTTTAATGTAGTTTAATGTTAAATATCTGAATCTTTTTTCTCTTGTCGTTCACATATCCAGTGTAATTGTGCTATGGATTCAGATTCAAACTTGATAGATGTATCTCTCTTCATGGTATTCACGTACTGTCTCCAGCTACAGCTAAAATTCCCACAATGATGACAGATAAAAGACCAGCTGTTCCTGAGTTGTATGTTAGAACTTCAGCAACTTCAAGATGAGATGTTTGATTTGCCTGGTTTTTTGCATGGCATCTACATCCAACCTCCCTGTTTGGAATGAGGAGTATAGGACCTTGAGTAAAGATGCATCTGTTGGAGTTTATCTTGTGTTTGAGAGTTCCATAAAGTAAATAAAGGGTTCTTTACTAGTAAACTTTCTATCAAGTCTGGTATGCCTGAAAAAAATTCAGATGTTTTCTTGTAACTTTGCTTGCTGTTATTAAGTGAAGAGGCACAAATTAGCATCAAAACCAGACAGAATGCCTAAATTTTTTCTGTGATGACTGACTTTTTTTTTTCTTTCTTTTTTTCCCCCCTCCAACAGGAACAGGAAATACAGTGGTGATAATGGTTGGCTACCCAAAAGGTATAGAGATATTGGAGCCAGTACGAAGAGGGATTCCAGTAAAAATGACTATAGTTGTTGGCACACGACACGTGCAGGAATATATCAGTGGTCAGTCAGTTGTGTTTGTAGCCATCGCCTTCATCACCATGATGATTATATCGCTTGCTTGGCTCATATTTTACTATATACAACGTTTCCTGTATACAGGATCACAGTTTGGAAACCAGGTAATTGGAGATAATTACGCTTTAGAGTATTTACCATCTTCTCGTGTCAAATCAGTTGCCTAACTTTGCTTGTTTATTGAAGCATTCTTGAAGTTCTCTGCCTTCTTGCTGCTTTACTATCTGTGAACACTACTCAGCAATGGTTAGTGAGGCTAATAAGCAGTGTGCTAATTGGTGTTGCAAGTTTGGCTACTTATAATTATTAGATACCTGTATGAAGTCGTGGGAAATATATTTAGCCATTTGTCAACAAGTGAGTAAAGGCAGGTTCTCGTGGGATTTGTCACCCAACTTAACTTCCCTTTGACATTAAAAATTATTTTCATTCTTCAGTAATTTTTGTTCTGAAAGTACTAATTTCACTAAATAGATCTTTTGCCTAATGGAGAGGGACCGTGCTAATTATTTTTTTCTTAAGACCCACAAGCAATGAGGGCTAAAATTTTGGTTCTAAAGCTTTATGAAAACTGCTTTTGATACTTGTAATCCTAATGCTCTACTGTAGAGTACTTAATGGCAGCAGAGTAGAAGGAGTATGTGTGGTGAGATTCAGCTATTTTAGACTATCTGAAGTGTTGAAAACGGTGGGAGTACTGGGAAGATCAGGAAGGAGTAACTCTGCTCTTTAATTTGCCCCTTACAAATCCCTGTTCTTCTTTGATAGGTTGGAAAAAAAAGAAGTCAGTTTTACTTTTGCCCTGAGGGAAGTTCTTAATCACAGAATAATTTAGATTAGAAGGGACCTCTGGAGGCTATCTGATTCAAACTCCAGCACTTAAGAGAGCAACTTGCATGGAGTGGTTGAGGACCTAGTCCAGCTGAGTTTTGACAATATCTTAGGATGGCACTTCCCTGTGCTTTTCAGCTGGTGCAAATAGGTTGCATTCCTCCATGGTCATCAGTATCTCTACCGCAGTTCTCTACTAACAGTGAAAAAGAAGGTTGCACTTGTTTTTCTTTGCAGGCAGTTCTCAGGTTATTTTTTTTATCTTCAATTCAGTAAAAAAAAAAAAAACCAACCACGTTTCAAATGACTGCTTATCACGTGGACTTCCCCTGCCTTCCACTTGAATGTGTGGATTCTAGCTTTGAGGGAGGAGGGAAGGGCATTTTTGTTTGCCTTCTGAGCTCTGTTTAGGAATTACAGGACTCTTATAGGGAAACATTTAGTTTCTCTCTTTCAGTAACTGAGCATAACACATGAGACTTCGGTATTGGTTAAACTTGTGGTCTACTTGAAATGTTGGTTCCCTAGAGTCTTTTTTTACTAAACTTTAAGTCTTAGAACTTACATTCTGAGAATACTTTAAAGAAAACAAAATTTTTGAGAAGTATTTATAGAAAAGGGGGTGTGTTTTTGTGTTGTAACAGTTGTTTGGTGAAGAAAGTTACTTCTTCCTGTTGGCTTTAGGATAGCTCATGCCAAGGGAAGTTCACATGCTTTATGAATAGTTTAAAGAGCATTTTTTAGGGTGAATACAATATTTTCCAGAAATATGTACCACAGATTCTTAATAGATTTTGCCATTTGGCTTGTCAACTAAATGCTTCTTAATTAAATAAAATTGTCTAGCATTAGAAGGTTATGGCACTTTCTCAATTCTCCCTCTTTTCAAGTGGTTATTGAAAACAAAAGTTTACCAAACTGTGCCAAGTTTAAAAATGTAATGAAGATCTTGGTCAAAATATATCATTAGGAGTCTTGAAAGATTTTTTGGGGAAAAAGCCGGTTTTCTAACCAAAATCTTGTTTTGCTTGGCTTACTGACTCCAGTATAATTAAAACTTGGGAGTTAAGTATGCCATGCTTCAAAGCAGGCTACTGTGTAGCTGCTGAGCGAAGGTGAAGATAGCCATCTTAAGATATATTCTAACAACAGGTTAGCAGTAAAACCTTGGAAGGCCTCCTTGCTACTGCAAATTAAGCAGGACTGTGCATAAAACCCTGAGCTGATACAGAAGGTGGGATAGACCCCTGCTGGTTGTCTGTCCATTTCTGAGAGACTTTTCAGACTTAACTCTCCTTAACACCAAAAAGAATTAAAAAAAATTCCCAATTTTTTAATACCATAAGTTTATAAAATGATATAAGTAATTGTAATTATCATTACAGATAAAAGCTACCATTATGGGGTTTTTTATTCCTTTATGGCATTTCATCAGTGAGGGTTGCAGCTGGACAGATCAACATCTGTTAATTGGGAGTATTCAGTTTCTAGCAGTAGCTAGCACTTTGTCTTGGAATACAGTACTGCTTTCTTTTCTTGCTTCCCCTCTAAGCATAATTAGGACTGTTACTGTATAGAAGTGCAGTATGGTGTCTCATGTCTGTTAAGCCTTTCTTGTTATCTCCTTTGCATAATGTGTCCTTTCAGTGGGAGGCTTTGTATAATGTGTGAGACAGTGTTTAACCGAGGGGCAGCCTTAATAGCGACAAGCAGCCTTTTGACCTGCTGGCCAGCTGTGGGCTGCCCGCCTGGATTCCACCTTCTCTCAAGCTTGTGCAAAACGTGCGCTGTGCTTGCTCATGGGCTTGCCTAACTAGAAGGTCTGGTTATATGACTGTTTCTTTCAGCTCTGATGCCTCTAAATCCTAAATTAGTGTCAGTTTTGTTGTGCGGGAAGGCCCTTGATGCAGGCCGTCGTGATACAAGGCTGCGTATGTCAGCTTGGTCTGCATAGTTCTGCACTGGCTGAGTTCATTTTAAAAGCACTATGCTCATAGATAATGTTTGCTGCTGTGCCCTGAGAATGTGAAACTTGCAGGTCTTCATCTCCTGGCTTGGAGGTATTTTGTAAACAAATGAGCTAGCCAGAGATGAATCTTTAAATGCATTCAGAAGATTTAGTAATCCACATGGAAAGTATTTAAAAGCTTTGAAATGTAACTCTTAAAACTAACTTGTGTACTAATATTAAAAATCTTTATTCAAGGGACATAGGAAAGAAACCAAGAAAGCAATCAGCCAGCTTCAGCTACATACTGTGAAACGTGGAGAAAAGGTAATTTAGTGGTTCTGGTTATTTCGGTATGATTTAAAAACTGTTGTAATGCCTTTATAGAATTTAAACTGAAATTCTAACCTTGTAATTGCTGTCTGACTGTGTACAATTTTAGGCTTATTTTAGCACCTTTACTTAGAAGACAAAGCTTAAAATTGAAAACTCAAATCTGAACTACTTATGAAATGTAAGGCTGTTTTTTTGCAAAGAATATCTAGTTACACAGAATGTTGCAGGAGACTACAGGGCTGGTACTGTGAAGATGAGGAAATACTAATCTTATCAGCACTTGAAAACATCAACAAGTGGATTGCAAAATACTTCCTAGGGCCTATTCATTGCACAGTTCTTACAGCTGATGTAATTTTTTTTTCTTAAAAGATCATCCATCTTTTTATTGATCAGAAGGCCTGAGAAATCTGAAAAGTTCTCAAAAATGTTACACTTGTTTCATCTTTTGACATAAATATGCTAAGGAGCTGTATAGACTTACTTGAAGCATACATTTTTTTAGAAGTACACTTCTATGTATTAAAGTAAAGCTATTCCAAAAATTTAAACAGCTTTCAAAAAATTAGCTTTGACAGCATGTAGCCTAAACTCATAGCTGTATTAGAGTAACTGAAGTAGAAAAAGCCAAGATTTCGAAAGAAAATATTCCATTCAGAGTTTCAGGCAGCTCTGATCCTAGATGCTAAATTAGTTTACGCTAGACTTCTACTACATAGACTTTTTTTTCACTCTTATTTGTCTTATTTGATTAGTTTTCACTTGAGGACCGATTTGCTCAGAGATTAAAAACAAGGATTAGTTTTTTAACCCATTAATAAAATTAAGGTGAGAAAGGACATTTGTCATATGTAAGAACTTTACAAGCTGTGGTTCAACAGAAGCTGTTCAGCTCAGGTCACATGCTACAGAGAGTGTGTCCTTCACTTAGTAAATCAGTTTTGAAATGAAAAAAAACCCAACTGTCTTTGAACTTGCCTCTTTTCCTCTTATGCATTCAGCATGTTTAAGTAGCATTTTACAAGTATTTGTTACTTTTAAATTATATTCAACATTCCATCAAAAAGTAATCTATTTCAAGCTGTGAACAGAGGGATGTTCATACACTGGTGAGATCAAGAAAGATGGAGTTGAACCAAAACTTGTGTAAAGCAGTATCAAAGCATAACATCAGCATAGGAAGAAATGGATGTAAAAGGGTCATGATGAAACCTGTGGGGAGAACCACAAGGAAGCTGTTAACTGCTTTTAAGCTGATGTTCAGTAAACCTCTAAAAAGGATTTGTTAGAGATTTTTTGCAGTGTAGCCCATGTTTCCTTCCAATCAATATACTCTTGACTGAAATAAATAAAATGGGGGGATTTAACCAAGTTGTTATGCAGTATGCTGGTTGTAACTATGAATGCCATGTTAGTTAAGCAAAGTAGAATGAGATTAGATTTAATTTAATCCCTATTAAAATAGGGGTTTTCTGCTTGGTAAATAATATCTTCTAATTCAATTTGAATCAGCCTACTATCAGCAAATTTATGTAACTTAATGATGCAGAAGTACTTCCATGAACTAATGTAAATTTTTCTGGAAGTAGTCCTGTCTACTCTCTAAATATGCATTTTTTTCTTAAAATACTTCCTTTCATCCACTATGATTAAAAGAGTAAATTTCTTTTATTGTGACACATTAGTCTTTCATTATCATTTCACTTGGGGTTGAGGTATTTAACTAAAAATAGGTCAATATTTTAAAAGTGTATTTGCTATCATGTAGATCTTCCCTGAGAAGCTTATGAGATTATTGTAAAATGGACACTCATTTGAGTATGTGCTACATATTGTATATTTGGACTTTGCCTCTTTTACAGAATAATAAAAAAAAACTGTTATAGAATAAATACTTGTCTTAACTTTGCTTTTGTAAAAAAAACAGTCCTAATTTTATATACTTGGGAATTTAAGGCCTTAATTATGTAAATTGTTAGTATGCAAAGGCGGGGAAAACTTGCCTTGAACTTGAAAGTTTGCTTGTGGTACTAATTCATTTGAGTGTTTGTGGTGATGAAATTGACGTATTTCAGTAAGCAGTAAACATAAAATACTTATTTTGTGGGGATGAAAGGGAAGAAGTTGGCCCACTATCTGTTCTTGTGATACTTATGTTTTATACAATCCAGTTGACACTGCATTATTTCTCTTGTATCCGGAGATACCCATCGTATTTGCACTGCAGCTACAAGTGTGGCTTCAAGAAGGTAGTGAGACCTGTTAGGAAAGATATTTAACCTTATACCTTAATTCTTAAGGTACAAGAAATTGAGATGGGGAAATACTGCATTTTGACTGTCTCCCTGGTGTGAGCTTGGAGAGACATTTTAAAAACCATCCCAAACTGCATACTTCAGTTTTCTTCTAACTACCAAGGGGTATCTGGTAGGATGTGGTAGAACAAAGAAAAAAGAAAAGTGGAGAAGGGTTTGCAGCATTTAGGCCCATGAATCTCATTCTGCTTAAGCCCTTGCAAGTCTGTGGGACCATCACTTAAGAATTTGATGGTGTGCTTTCATCGAAGATGACTTCTTTTAAAATTTCTTTGTTTTGTAGTTACTTTAAACTGAAATTTTATTGTGCTCCCGTGAGCAAAGCCAATGTTTAAGACTTAACAAATTACTTAAGGTAACGTGTAGTTGTTTAAATCGGAAAATAAGAGTTTGGCTGCTTTTAGTATTTGGTATTACTTGGTCAAATCACCTTTTGATAGAATCTTGAATTAAATGAGGGAGATGTTTTTATTTGCTAAACCATTTTATACATTTTACATTCTGTGAAGTTACCTATTACACAAAGCTTGTTCTGTAACAAGCATTTAAATGTCTTGTCATCTTTAGGGTTTAGATGTTGATGTGGAAAACTGTGCTGTGTGCATTGAGAACTATAAACTGAAAGACACTGTGCGAATTCTGCCATGCAAGTAAGTTGCCATAATTATTCTTTCCTCTTTAGCTTGTTTTCCCTAAGAAATACATGATGACCTTTCTGAAAACTTCTGAAACTCTGGTGGCAGAGCTGAAGCGGTGCCATTTATACGGCCTATTACATGTTGAAGGGCACTGGGAGACCATGTAGCGCTTCCTATCTATGCAGGAAAAAGGAGCAACTGCCAGAAGTGTAGGGGTGAAGTAGAGCTTTCTTAGTATTAAGTTAGAACTGTACAGTGTTGAACTTGGTAGCTCTGTGGTGTCCTTATGGTTAGTAATATTTCTTATTTCAGAAAGCTGGCATGAAAGATGATGCTTCTAGAACTGTCTTAGTAAATTAATTGTCAAGGTTATAAAGAAATGGGTTTATTTTTTAATGTAGTAACTTGCACATTGTTTAAAAGAATAGCATGTGGCTTTCATGATAAGTTTTAAAGGGCATTTCTTTTCTTTAGGCACATCTTCCACAGAACATGCATTGACCCTTGGCTTTTGGACCACCGGACTTGTCCAATGTGTAAACTAGATGTTATCAAAGCTTTGGGATACTGGGTACGTTGCACACTTGATTTAATCTTCAAAGTAGCAGTACAGTGCAGGAGGCAAGACTTGATGTAACTGTTCAGGTTGAGAACAGTTGTCACTGAGACTTGTGTGGGCAAACATGCAAGATTGAGTGAGAAATAGAAGAATAAGGGAATTGTATGGGTAAGAACTTAAACAATGTATTGAGCATCTTACGAATCCTCTGTGTAGTCTTCTGTGATAACCAACTTTTTCCTGTCTCTGGCTGATGATTGTAAGGAAGTTGAAGAGGTGAGGCAACTTGCCCAAGCTGCAAAAATATAACTTAATTCAGTAGATCTAGAGCATATCTTTGATCTTGAGAACTGCAATTCAAGGGAAGAAGTTACAGTTTTTCTGTCTTGAGTGTTTGTGTGCTTCCACATATGCCCAGTGTTTTACCCCTGCAAGTAAACCAGTACTTAGAACCTTCCTAAAGACATTCACCAGAAATTGGTTAAGTAGAGAAAATGATGTGCTCTCATTTCTTTCTGACAGCACCAGAAAAGAGAGATGAAGACACATGCGGTAGGTTACTTGGTCACTATTGATAAATAGTCTTGAGTTCCACTAAAATGCCACAGGCATGAGTCTACTTCTCTTCTACTGATCTGCAGAGATCTTCACAAAATAGGGGTGTTCCTTGGTTTCAGGGACCTTTCTTTCATAGACTAGGTCTGCCTTTTTGCTCTTTCCTCTTACCTCGTTGCAGAGACTTAGCAGATCTATGGAAGGCTTCTATGAATTACTTTTTTGTTTTGTCAAAGGTGCCAATACTCTTGCTATGTAATATGTATACCAGATTGTGGTGCTTCTGTGTATTAGGTCAGACTTTGTTCAAGAGTTGCAATCTTTGTCATGTGAAATAGCTATTATTACTGTAATATAACAGCTTATTTTTTGCTCTCTTTCCATTCTTGGAGTTGATGTAACTTGCATTATATGCAGAAGGTTATATCCTTTTGTATACAGTCTGAAAACTGAAATACTAGAACCTTCAGAACACTTGTATTCCTTCAATTCGTGCTGTTGCAGAGGATACTGATACCAAGCCTAAACAGGAGTAATACCTCCTCCACTTGTTAGGCAAAATAAGTGTTAGAAAGCAAGTTGAATGGGAGTATATTAAATACAGAAACCCAGTTTTTTCTAATGGAATGGGGAAAATGTCTTGCTTATGCACCAATCATTCAAGCCCCACTGATGCGAGTAATGTGGGAAATCATTCAGTATTTTTTTTCTAGCTTAGTTTTCAGCCTGATCCGGGTTGCCTGATCTCGTTTGTAGAGTGATTGTGTGAATTTTTAATTGATGTGAGGAGAGAAAAAAGTGCAAAGAGCAAGGCAGCTTCTTTCAGCAGTGTGCTTGCTGAGCGGTGTAACTGCAGGCAAGAATGTGCAGCCCTATTATAGAAACCTATGGAACCTTCTGCAGAGAGGCTGAGGGCTCGATTCAGTTTTGTGGAAGACATACTTCAGATGCTTCAGAATTTTTAAAGGCTCAAAGTAGAAAGAAGACACTAAGTCCTATTACCTGGCTTCTCTTTTGTAAAGCACAGACTTCAGCAGTCTAGTTCTGCATTATGCTATTTCTTACAAGAAAAGAACTGCAGTTCAACATGTCTGACTGATTTAGAGCATTGTTGAATCTTGTCATCTTGGTGCTTTTTTTAACTGCCTAAGTTTTGGAAACCAAAATCATTAATGCTCCACACCCGCATACCTAGAGATTAGTATCATGTGTCTTAACATGTGTTTAATGGTAGCAGTTCTATAGCTTATTAAAATTCAGTACATTTTAAAATATGCTGCTCTGGTGCTAAAGAAAGGATCAATTGAGAATTTCTTAAGATGGGCCTGTGCTAATTGTTTGAGGAGGGGAAAAATACTCATTATGAAGCTCACAGAATAGCTACTTGAAATGCAGTATACGTGCTTATGTATAAATCATGTCAGTATATCAATGGCAGTACTGTAATGAAGGTAGTCTGTTTAATTTAGGAACAGAATTGTGCAGGTAGGACTTCTAATTAACTTTCAGAATGGATCAGAAATAGCTCATGCTGTACAATAGGTGAAATAAATTCCTTTGCCTGTGCTGTAGATGTTTTGTTCCTGCAAAGTGACAAGCCAGCATATTTGCATTTTTGGAACAGCTGGAGGTAAAGGAGGGGGGAAGCTTGTTCTGATGTCAAACGTTTGCTCACCCAGTAAAAAAAAAAAAAGTCTAAGCTTGCCCAACTCTATCATGGAGAAACAGCAGCTTCCACAAACTCAGAAAGGATCAGTAGGTTTGCTCAGCGAAGACTTTGCATGTGCTGAGCCTGCTCCTGACCAGACTGCAGCATTACTGTTGCTACAGTGTTGAAATATTCCATCCAAAAGCCTGGCTGGGTTGACTCTTGCCATTGCTGTTCTTGGCTTTGGAGTGACTTTGAAAAAGTGGATGCTTTTGTGCTTGGATTTGTTTCTTTCAGTCAGACAGTAACACTGAAAGCAGACCCTGTTTAACACTGTACCCACGAGCACATAGAAAATAGGCCAAAAAAAAAAAATCATCTTTTTTCCAATAAGGTGAGGTTACACAGTGGTGAGGCGGAGGAATGTTGATGCCTAATGGTAGACAAAAGTTTCAGTTCAATATATTTAATTTTGAAGGGGGACCCTGAAGATGTACTTGAAGTTCCGATACCCGAGTCGATAAGCGGCAGCGTTTCAGTCGGAAGTCTGAGTATCGCTTTGCAAGACGATGACAGAAACGAAGTAAGCGAGTTATCAGCTTCCTCCACTAACGAGTCTGTATTGCAATGCACCAGTTTAAAAGAGGACGCAGGTGAAACCACAGCGTTACTTGGTAAGTAATAATTTAGTTTCACGTGACAATCCTTAATGCCATTCATTGCATTAGATGAAGCCATTCTTGAAGTGATGTTAGTAGTGTTAGTATTGCGCTGCGGACCAGACTGAGCGGTGTCACGCACTACTGGTGTTCAGAAAATATAAGTAGGTAGATTTTTGAGAGAATTCTGTTGAGCTGGAGAAAATTGGTCTTTGGGACAGGGGGTTGGGGTGGGGAAGATGCAAACAGTGTCTTAGGAGGATTACTTACACAGAGAATCTTGAGAACCTTAGGTATATATGAATATGAAATTTGTTGCTGGAGTTTGGATTAATGCAACAGATAAAATGTATTAAAATGGTAAGTCAACAAACAATTTTTCTTCTAATTCTTGGCTTCTAGATGTGGATGTCAGTAATAACCGGCATGGAGAACATCTGTCTAATGGAAATTCCCACTGAACTGCTTCATGGAAGATATCTTGAATAGACTGTTGAAGAACTATTATTTTTTATTTAATTAGTATGGACTTCTGTCTAGTTAACGGAAAAAATAACAATGTAAATTATTTTACCTTTCAAACTTTTCTAGCTGGTGTTCCAAAAGGGCTAATAACTAAGAATTTTGTACACAGGAGGATTTTATAAAATCTCCTCTGGATGTCTCATCCTAAAAAAAGATGCAATAACCCTTTTTCTGTAAGCATTGTTACAATGTCATTGTGTTCCAGAGGGCTGTAACAAAGACGAAGACTAGGCAGTGAAAACAATGTAGAGTGTCTTAACGGATAAATATTTTGGCTGCACTATTTACATTCCGTATGTACGCATGGAGAACACTTACAAGACTATAAATATTAAAATGTTCTGAAAGTTCTGATCTGTTGTAATTGGAGATGGATATTTGTAGAAAAGACATAATCTAACCTTGAAGGAATCTAATAACTTTGTGGATATGTTGCATACCCTTTTTCGTGATGAAAAAATTGCTAGTTGCAACTTTCCTTACAAATACTAATTTGATCTTGTAATGTGTTCTACTCAGAGTGGATGCTGAGAGAAAAGTAGACTTTTTCCATCTTGCTAGCTTTTGTACTGAATTTGGCAGTAATAGGTTGTGCTGGGTGGTCTTCACGTGCTGAGCATGTAGACTTATTTAGGTATATGCACACTGGTTACCTCTTTCAATCTTAAACTCAGTAGACAGAGGTAAAGGGCTAATTATGGCTGAAATATATTTATTAGTCTATTTATAAGAATTTACTTAATTCCTTCTTATTCCTGCTCCCATCCTGTCCCACCTTGTTATGTAAAAGTTGAAACGGTTTCTTAGGATCTACAAAGCTTGGTTTTGTTTCTTTCTTTTTCTTTGCATAGAGATGCTGGAACTCTTCTCTTGGATATTCCACGTTAGGAGTTTTGACTCGGTTTGCCATTAGCTTTTTTCCTTTCTTTTAGATTAGCAGTATTGTGCCTTATAGTAAAACACTTAGAAACCTGAAGCATCTGAGAGTAAATATAAAACCTGGCATCTCCCATTACAACCTCTTATTCAAATATTTCTATACTGTAAGTGGTATAAGGAATTGCTAAACTGTTTTGTAAAGAAATATGTATATTTAAACACTACTTATTAAGAGTGTTAAGTGAATTGTTTAGGATTTTAGCATTGTCATGTTATAAATAATAATACATTCCTCAATTTTCTTCTGTAAAGCTGTTACTACAGGTTGCTTAAAACGGTGTCTTTTACTAGACATTTGTTTTAGAGTGCATTTTGTTTTTAAAATGTATATTTGGAATGTTTTTAAGAAAATATGCAATTCTTTTTCTAACTTATATTGCGCTTCAATAGAAGCATTTTTTTTTTATTTTGGAATGAATGTTCCAGAAATGACAGAGGTTTCAGATGCGGGAAAATAATCTGAAATTCTACTTTGCAGAGCAGATGTTTCACCCTAAATTTCCTTCAAAATACATCTATTAATGCCTACTTAAAAAAAAAAAAAAAAGAAATCTGTTTCTTCCCTGTAGGAGTGTAACTTTTAGGTTTACTAGAAAATTGTCAGGTTGTAGTTCTGATGTCACCAGCAGGTGCAAGTTTTTATGATGCCTTTATCTTACAAGAAGCACATGAGAATGGAATATGACTGACCAACCATCTGCAAAACTGAACAAATGAACAAACAACCCACAACTAAACCAAACAATGTATGGGGGCACTTACGTCTCCAAAAGGAGCTTATCAACATTTCCAGAACTGCCTTTTTAACTGTCTCTTCAATATTTAAAAAGTCTTCTCCCTCTTCCTTAACACAAAGCTGAACATTGATGTAGTAAATGTTGAGAGGGTTTAAACTCTAGCTCAAGGAGGAACCGAAAGGTGTTACCAAGAGAAGTCTTGTCAGTCTGTGGATTGTGTCTTGCTGATACCCGCAGCGCAATATTCGTGCTGGAGGGGAGAAATGTGGTAAGTACTTCAGCTTTTTTGTAATACCTATAAAACAAAAAGTTTTTCTTAGGAATCAAAGCTGCAATCTGGCAGAAAGCTGGAGGAAAAGCTAAAGAACCTGCAAACTGAGAAGTGTGCTTATAAAATCTGAAGTGTAAGTTATAGCACTGACTTAAAAGAATATCTTGAGCGTGAAGATTCCTGGAGGATGTTTCTGGTGCTGGCACTATACCGCTTTCACTTCAGCCTTTCACAAGTGTAGTTACACGTGTTTCAGCCAAATTGGTTTGTGCATAGTTCACCTTTGGTATAGTTAGGTCTCCTAAGGCCAGCTGTGTTGCTGAGGAATGATGACAATAAAAGGCCGAATTGCAGTGCCTCCAGCAAGCAGGTTGCTCTCCTTGGAAGCACAATGACAAAAATCTTCCGAAGCGAATCATTAGTCTGACCTCAGTCAAAAAGCGGACATGTATTAGCAAAAAGTGATGGGTTTAAAAAGTCCAGGACAGGAAAGAGACAATCTGTGGAGCTTAGAACAGTAGCAAGAGAGGATTAGAAATGTGAAGCTTATCACCTACTTTTATAACTCAAATAGATTGCTTTTAGAGTAAACAGTTGTAAGCAGCTATTAGGTAAATATGGGTTCCCAGACTTTGCTGATCTCTACCTACTATATTGGATCAAACTGGTATTTCTAGTTTCTAGCACTTCAACTACCGAAAGTTTATATGAAGGTCAGAACTCGATGAGTCTTTTCCTGCTATGAATGTTTTTGCAGGATAGGTGCCTTGTGACTCCCTTCCCTACCATATGGGGAATCTTTGATCTGCTTCTTCTGCTTAGGCTATCTCCTGCCTAATGTGGGAGCTGATGGGTTCCTTCTGGCCTCCCCTGGCCCAATCTCTTTCTGTTCCTAGCTGTGCATTTTGTCTGAGATACCTCTTTTTGTCAGTTCTTGCTGGAATCAGGCAGAGTTTCTTACTTGAGACATTCATGTGGTATGATAATACAAAGCTGAAGCATGGTGTCCACATGAAGTGAACAGCCTCCCAAAGGTGATGTTGAAATCAGTTGGGGAAAATCCCTAGCCAGGACTCGGGGGTGGTGGTGGTGTAGAAGGAGTTTTGTTAGTATCACATTCATTGGTATGGCTTTGTTAGTTCTAGTGTTACTGTTACAGAGAAAACTTGTAAAGTTCAAGTGATTTTAAAAAAGAGCTATGAACATGTCAAAATGGACTGGTGTTTAAAGTGAGACTAGAGGCCCTCTGATCAGAAATCTTAGTTTATTGATAATCTACACATGTCAAATTGGAGAATAAATTAATAGTAAATAACTGTTTGGACTAGCTTCAGCTTTTAGACTTGATAGCAAGCAGAAATGGACTGTAGACATTTCAGATCTAAATGCATGTTAATAAGGAGTTTAATTACCTGCAGTATCAATTTAACTAGAAAATTTGGATTTTATTTTACTGACTAACCCTAGACTGGATTTTTCTTTGGTTCTAAGTAATACTTGGAAGATTCTTTGCATGTACTAGGGAAGTTTGATTAGATAGCAGTAACTCCTACTCCCCACCCCCCCAAATATGTGAATGTAGTGCAGTCACCTATTGCCAGTAAGTAGTGCTAGATGCTGGAGGTGTGCCAGGATAACATAACTACAGTGAGAATGCCTTTAATCCATGCTGATTTAATAAACTGGGCACAGGTGCGTTCCTGCCAAGGCTGGGTTGTTGCACATTGGGAATTCTAGCCCTGTGTCAGGGTGTAACTGGCACAGAGAAACACCTTTGCAACAACTTTGTCAAATGTGCAAAGACTTTTTTTTTTTTTAAATCACTTCTTGATTCAGGAGTGGTTGTCCTGGTTTTCTGCCTGGCCTGATAAGGACTAGTCAGTAGTAGTTGTGCAGAGAGGAGCCCAGCAAGTGTTTAGCAGTGGTTACCCTGCTTCCGTGCCCTGTGGTCAGAGGATGTCTGACGTAGAGGCGGTATCTACACTTGCAGGTTTTTATGAGCTTGATCGTTAAGTGGAAAGTGTTGGGTTGACATTATGATGGCAACAGATAGGGCACAACAGGTTGGGCTGATTATTTAGCTACCCCATAAAAGCAGACTTCTGCTGTCTAGACTAGTCTAGGCATGCAGCTACTGTTAGCAATACCAACTGTACTTTGAAGTAAACACTAGTATGTTAAGAATGGCATTCCCAACTTAGGAAATATTTTTCAGTTGTTGCCACAATGTGTAATAAGGATATGTTTTTGCTGCACATCAGCATCCCAAGTGTTGGGTAAAACTGGCAACTTTTGCTCAACAGAGCCTTTAGCACCTTGAATCAAGCCAGTAATGATGATACTGTGGTGATGGTTAGGTGGGTACTTGGGAGTTTTGTTTGTTTTTTTGGTGGGTTGGGGTTTTTTTTTGTGTGTGTGTGTGTGCTTTTTGTATGTTTGTTTGCAATATCTTGTCAGGTTAACCTGAGGGAATGGAGTTCTTGGTGTTGGCAGTTTGTCAGGAGACTGTTCTCTTCTGTATGTCTCCCTTCAGCCACGAGGCTGGGTGAGACTTGGCACAGTGGCTTGGACCAATGTCATAGCTTGCTGTTACAAGGAGAGAGAGAGAGTAGCAGTTCTTTCTGGTTTCCTTTTCTGCTCTACTTTGCTCTGTCTCATGTTCAGATTAAGAGTATGTGATGAACTAATTCTGGTTAAGTGGCAGAAAATTAAATCTATCAAAGCTTTATTTTGATAAGCCAGGAAACTGAATGTCCTTACTGTGCAGTTGACTGAGCTTTAGAGCTGGGCTAAGGGGATGAGGAGTTGGGGTGGGGAAGGGAAGAGTCTTGCTCTTCCCTTGGGTAAGTTGAAAAGATGGAGTTTTATAATAGGAATTACAATTCCTGAAATGGAAGATGGCAGTAGTGTATTTTTGATTAACCAGAATGGCTGTAAAAATTGTAACATCTCTCCTGTCCTTGAGACTAATCTTCACTAGATGTGTTCTTTTCTCTCATAGGTGATATGTGACGATTTGGGAATTGGAATTCTACATTAAACATGCACAAATCAAGCTGAAGGCTTTTGGTTTTGTTCAGTATGGGTCCTGATCTCTCTCCTCAGATATCCTGCTGTATTGCAAAACTTGATCTGAGAAAGTTTTAAAAGTAAAATGTCTCTATAATTGCATGTGTTTGTGTGAAGAATGCATTGCCTGGAAAATGTCCACCATACTTCCATTGGACCTGAAGCTACGTTTCACCATCTGAAACATGGTAATGATACTGTGTTTTTAAATGAGCATATCCTACTTAATTCAGAAGACCAAAATAATTTGAGTTTCCATTGTTTTGTTAGTCTGAAGCTTAAGTCCAAAACTTTGAAGCCAGTTACTTCTACTGTAAATGTAACTGCAGAGAACCATTTGAACTTGCTAGTCTGTCAGCAACTAGTCACAACTGACTTTTATGGTAACCTTGTACGAACTTGGTTGCATTGTTTGGATTAAGCACTGGGCTATGTCTTTTCCATTGTGTATGTACAACTGTAAGAATGTCAAGTTATGCATTGTTGTTGTAATTTAATGGCTAAAAGCTCAAATTCCATAATAAAAAAGCAATGTCTGAGAAGCTTGAGGGGTTTGTGTTCTTTGCTACTCTTATGGAAATGGGATCTGAGACACTCAAGTAGCACAGAATCAAACAAGCTGAACTTTATGCTGGGTAGCTAAGGGGGAGATCCTTTTAGAATGTTGTAGAGTTTTCCTTGTGTAACCAAGACCTGGGTGTGGTGGATTAACCTTGGCTGGCTGCTAAATGCCCACCCAGCTGCTCTCACCCTGCCCCACCCTCAGTAGGAGAGGGGAGAAAATAAGGTGGAAAACTCATGGGTCAACATAAAAAGTTACCATCACAGGCAAAACAAGACTTGACTTGATGAATTTTAATTTATTGCCATTTAAAAAATAGAGTAGGATAGTTAGAAACAAGGACAACACTAAACCTACCTCTCTTTACCCCTGGTCTTCCTAGGCTTTATTCCTTCACTCTTGATTCTTCTACCCTTTCCTTCCCTGAGATGGTGGCAGAGGGCCAGAGAAAGGAGTGTTG